GTGTAGAAAGACGTAACGGAGCACCTAATGTCGGCGATAACCGTCAAGCCCTGCGAATAGTCGGACCGTAATTTTTCCTTGTGAACGCACATATGGTAGTAATGGCGTCCGGCCGCGCCTGCCTGCGAGACACGTCAGCTGAAGGATCTTATGAAGCCGTACACCCGCTACCGTATTTAGCACCTGCTAATTAAGCGATCAAGAGAACCGCTAGTTGGCCAGGGACTTCGCCCGCTTGCCCGCTCACAGAAACCGCCCATTAGTGTGTCAGCGGCTAGCATGGAACCGACTTCCACAATGTCTGCTCCAAGCCTGGAGGTCAGCTCTGCGTGAGACTCAGTGTGTCCTGAGGGCCTGGAGAGGCACGAAACACGGAAATCGATGTCGTGCCGATCGGAGATGCAAAACGTGCCAAACATCTGTGGTGAGATAATTGATAAGCCGTATGAAAAAGCAGGATCCGATGTTACCTTTCATCCCACAGCCACTGCGCTTATTATGACACAGCTTTATCGTGCCATAGCTATTTAGTCCACGGTGAAACAGCGTGAAGGTCTAGGTGAAATAAAAACACAAAAATATCGTCATAGTGCATCTTGTACCCGGACATACCAGAATGCTTGGTGACTTCAAGCTTATTTTCATTACTAACATGCTTTTCTGATCAGTTTTGTCGCGTTGGCCTCAACAAATTACCGTGCACCGTGTCTTCAAAACATTTTCTTTAGCCCCAAATGTCAGTTCTAAAAGCCATGACATGCACGCTGGGATGCGCCTTGCACAACACAGCATAGAGGCAAGGAAAAATTGATGTACGGAAACTTTGCGGGGATCCTTTTATTGGGAGTGCCTTGTCACACCTTCTTCATCACTGTTAGCGCAAACTTTATAAACGCTAAGTGTTTTATGGAATGCAGAAAGGCCCCACTTTTCTGGCACGAACTAAATGCGGTTATTTCCTGCGAGGTTCCACTTATCCCCGCTTCCGACAGTCTGGTCATAAATAAAGAGAGATGAGCACTTCCAGTACGGGCTAGTGCAAGTTGATAACAAGGTTCTCAGGCCAGCCGTGGGCGGCAACAATTTGCTGGAGATAATGCACAAAATATGCTAAGATAACGCCATCATGCGCGCACTGCCAAGTCATTTAGCTGAAGCTTTGGAAAGTACCCGGATGCCCTGTGATTTTCAGTCGGTGAATTGTTTTGCCGTTGAAATTATATCGCTCGCTGTTCCAGGTCCACAAGGCGTTCTTATTCGTTGCGGGGCTTGAGTGTAATGTAAGAACAGGCAAGTAACCAAAGTTCGCAGGTGAAAGGGGAGCGAGTCAAGCATGAAATGTTCTTCGAAATCCTGCGAATCTTGAACAAATTCTTGCGAGGTTTCCCAGTAATAGCATAAGCGTCTTGACTAAGGAGGGCACAGGCGTAGCCTCCTTGCCCCGCCCCCCCCCCCTCCCTCCCTCGGCTACATCCTGTTTACGAAATTAACGAGGATGAAAGATAAGTGCGCGCACCTAGTGGAAAATGACCAACTTCGGGCCGGCGTCAATTAAACACTCGGCACTGCAGCGAATGTATGCAGGCATTCCGCCGAAAAAAGAGGTCAAGCTTTGGAAAGTGCGCACGGGTTCCATGTTTTCTAGTGGATTCGTTAACGCTGAACGGCGACGGGATGAAACTACCCTCAACTTTTACAGCACGTGATAAAATTTCGAGGTAACCGGCTACTCATTAACCTGAGAGCGTCCATCTCACGCTTGTAGAATATGCCGGTGAAGTGTGTCTTTTGCCGGTAAGACAAAGTAGACCTGTCCCCCCCCCCCCCCCCAATCTAGTGGGTTTCGTGCGGATGCGGTCGAGTCGACCACCGGCGACCCCGCCCGGTGGACGTTGCGTCGAGGCCGTCCACTGCGGCGCACACGGCCGTCACCAGGCGCCGTTCAAATAAAACTTTACGGCCCCCTTCGTTAGGCGTGAGGTGTCGGTCCCGTTTCCGTTTATTGCAGACTGAGGGACCGATCGTAAACGCCGCGAGGTCTTTGTGGACAGCGGGTCCGTGGCTGCTCTCAATTCGGGCCGGTGGTAAACCAATAAACGGTCCGCGCATAGGCCTACCTGGCCGTCTTTTGCGTGCGAGCAGACGGTAAGGATGTGGTGTCGCCACTACTTCCTCTTTTTGGTATATTTCATTCATTCTGGAAGACGCACGACGCAGTTCTGGAAGCGCCGCTTGTTTTAGATGGAGTGAGCTTAGTTCGATAACCAATCAGCGCTTAGTGTCGGTCTATCGCAATCACGTCAAAGACAACTAAAGGTCAGAGCCGTCGGACGAGGCCTCCGTCTCGGCCAATATGCATTCCAGCTCTGGACAGCTAGATGCTCACCCAGCTTGACTGAACGGCGCCAGCCGATAAACAATACTGCCGAGCAATAGCTGCAAAAGCCAGCGCGCCTGATTTCTGTTCAATCTGCTCCAAGTGTGATGGAACCTGCATCCAAGCCGTCACAGGGAGCGCAGCATGCCTCAGCCACCCGTGGCATGAGCAATGAAGCACGGGCCGTACTCCAGCGGGGCACGTTTGACTGCATACGGCCGCGGGCGGCGCCGACCCAGAGTGATACGCTTTCCGAAGCCGCCATAAACCACCCGCCCACTTCCGTCGCTGCGGGGCTGAACAGTTGCCTCCCACGTCCCGAGCCCGGCCAGCACCCCGTCACCGCCTCCGGCTGTTCCGGGGTCGCGGGTGCTGCGCGCCGTGCGCCGTGCGCTGTGCGCTGCGCAGCCCCGCCAGCTGTCGCCCGGTGCGTCCTGAAGCGCTGCGCGTGCGGACAGCCTCGTGACCACAGCGCTGCACTCGGCCCGGCGGCGCGAGGCGGCTCGCGCACCGAGACGTGCCCGCGCGGTCCGCGCCTCCCCACAACTGACGGTAATTGTGTGGCATTTGCAGGACGGCGCCGGCCGCGCGGCGTTTTTATCCGCCGGCGGCCGTGGGAGCCGCGAAAAACGGCTGGCCGCCGCAGCGATTTCGCATTCGTTCTACATTCGCTGCGGTCGCGGCTAATGGTGGACGCTGGGAGGCGGCGGCGCTCGTGGCGGCGCGCGTCTGGACGAGTCGGGCTCGGAAGAGGCCGGCTCGTCCCAAGCCAGCGGCGAGAAGGGATCGTTGTCGGGCTTGTGCCACCCGGGCTTGGCTCGGCCCAGCCGCACAAGCCATGACGGGTGTAATCACCCCTGAAGGGATGCGTTCTCTAGGTGAAGTAAGTCGGCAGAGGAAACAACAGGATAGCTCAGTCAGCACAGCGATAGACCAATCGGTGCAGTCAGGTGGGAGCAAAGCTATGCCCCGGACGAGGCAGTCCGCGACAGAGTCTCACCGCCAGCTGACCCGTACTGAGACACACTGAACTCCGGTGAACCGGCTCAGGTCGGGACCGGTATGACCGTTTGGACCCGTGCAGTTGGATCTTGTCACGAGTCTTACCAGCTACCGGACATTGTCCCGCAGTTTGAACTGGGTAACGCTAGCCGGAAGCGCCGTGTGAAGCAGTGAAAACCGGCATCATCCTTCCGGACAGTGCATATGACTATCCAGCTGACAGCACTTATCATCGGCAAGCGATCCGAGTGAGATGTACATGGAGCTGTGGACAGCCGGGGCTGACGGAGAGGACCATCAGGCGATCAAAACAAAATCATGTGACAAGTTAGTTGGTTAGTTACTGAGTTTTAAGGGCGCATCGCCTGCATTGGTTATTTGCGCCCATGTCCTAGCGTTAAGAACCTGTGTCAACAGACCTATAGCCGGAACTGTGTCAGCAGATTGCCGTCAATGTCTTAGTGACTCAGAGAACTCGTCAGCTGCGTACTGGAACCGTAGAACGTAGAAAAAATGGTATCAGGGCTATAAAGCCCACCTGCCAATTGTCTGAGTCGGTGAGTACAAAAGCTTGAAACCTAGGTCTTTCAGAAAGGCAAAAACTGCTCGAGCATCTGTCAACGCCGGATCACCCAACAGCCAGGCCAGGGGAGCGCGATTCAGATTAAGATACCGGTTTCGCCCAATCTTGTAGTTCGTAAGCTATGTGTTCGTAAACAATGTGGCAATTTAGTGGAATCAACGTACATGCAGTGCTAATGCATGTACTGTTTATATAGGATGCAGGCGGCTGCACCAGACATGTCTTTGCTTATGATTATGACAACGCTGCGGCTTTCCTCGCCTCTCCGAGACACACATACCGCAGACAATGGGCTGGGCGCTGCTCTGGTCGAGTTCCGTCCCAGGACATTATGCACATTGCATTTCCCTCACAAGTACAGCTCCAGTACCGAGCATGGCTTCTCTCCTTGTAGCAAAGTGCCGCGTGAGGGTCGTGGTCCACACAGACCAGGCACTTAAGGGTCATGAGTGCTGCAGTTTCCGACCATCTCATCTCCAACGTGGGCCCGGCAGCCCATTATGCTAAGGTGTGAAACGGCCGCGTGTACATCCCAGTGGACCGCCCGGCTCATCCGGCCGGGCTCCGTATGTCGTTGCTTGTATACCCCGAGTGGGCAATGAGGTTTCACCTTTCCCCATCTACCTGCGCGGTCTGGGAATCTATGCTGGATAACGTCGCGATATTCAAACCATATCCTTGCGGGTCTTTCCATCCGTCCTTATCGCGAAACAATAAAACCATCCTCAGGCCCTCTGTGGAATACCCTTTTGGCACCGTCTCCTTATCTGAGCGCTGCGTCCCACTCTTATCGCAAGCCTTTTATGGAGTCATACTATCCCCGACCTGCCTTTCCCATGGCGCCGCTTCATCATCACAGACCACGCAGACCATCCCCTGCTCGCCGGCACCGCCCTATCTCTGATGCTCGGTCCTCAGCCCCGCGGACCGCGGCGGCCTCCTGCCCACCTCCCCGCCTGGCCGACGGGTGGCGCCACCTCCGCGGCGGCGCCGGCCAGCCCGGCGGACCGGCCGCCTCTGCCGCAGTCAGTGCGCGAAGCGACGGGGTGGGGTGTCCACGCGCCGTCGGGTCGCGGCCCACACATATCACCGGCGCGGCCGAGCATGTGACCTGACCCGACCCGACCCGGGCAGCAGTGCTGGCGGCTATGGCGGGCCGGGTACGACGGCGCCCGGCCCTCGCGCTTCTCGTTGGACTTGTCCTCATCGACGCGGCGAACGGTGAGTAAGCTGCTACGAGGATGCTGTGGCTGCAGGTGTGAGGATGTGTTGCGAGTGGACGCAGTGCTGTGCTGTAATGTCGCACGACGGGCGACGGCGTGTCGACAGCAGTCTGCATGCAGGGACGTGGTGGCTGCACTGATCAGCTGCGGTGTAACCATTTCCGGCAGTTCCGATTGTGTTGGCTCAGCGAATAGCTACTTCCGGATTGCAGCCCACTGTCACGGCCTCATGACATTGCACTGTCACAGCCCGTGAAATTGTCTCCCATCAACTGGCATGTATACAAGGACATAAAGTAGGGTCGGAATGATTTCCATTAGAAATTAATCTTTTGCACGCTTGAATGCATCTCGTTCTCGTTAGTTCTCAAAATGAGTTTGGGAACAAACCACACAACCAGCACCAGCAGGCATGCAGTTTACAATTTCACTCTTGGTTGATTGCTACCTAATAACAGATGCTGGTTGCTCTTCGAAATGCGAATGAAATCGGTTTAACAATATCAACATGGCTATTGCAACTCTGGCGGCACTCGTACTTTGAAGGAATCAAACATTTTAAGTATCTGTGCTCTTGGACAGAGCTTAGCTGATGTGTAAAAGCTCAAAAAGAGTTCAAGGACCCTACACGCGAGATTCGGCATCTTAGTTGATCTGATATTTCCGCGCCTCAGCTTTAGACCATTCAAAGTTGAACATTATTATTGACATGCCGCACTTGCAGAGAATGTTTCACAGTTAAAGATATTGAAATAAGCATCAAATGTGATGAAATAAGCTCACTCATAACTATTGGTATGGTTTTAAGTGGAAAAGGCTGCTCAAGACACAACAGTTATCTGTTCAATAAGCGAGCTTCTCAATACACCATCGTTTAATGCCATCGCACCTTGCACAACATTGGCTGAGGGCCTATCGACGGCCGTTATACCTGAAAATCGTGCTCATAGACGCCAGATATGAACGCCACGACCACTATATTCTCTTGGCCTTGGTCGCCGAGTGGCCAATGGAATGGCGGGTTTTGAATAACGTCATTACGGCGTCATGGATGCCTGGGTGACCTTGAAATAGTCTCCCCGAAATAGTCACACATCCTTACGGGCGTATAGCTTAGAAACAAGAAGGGTTTAGGCCTCATGAAGTGCAGGGCTGGGAACTGCACCAAATGATCTTCAAGACGGCTGTCCCAGTTCAAAGCCCCATTCGAATGTGAAACATTTCCTTTAAAGGGAACGCCCCACCTTTAAACATTCCGAAAGCACGAAAGGAACCTGCTTCAAAGCTCAGGCGCATGCTGTTGTATTACACCTGCAAACCACTCGAGTCTAAATAGCATTCTTAAGCTCTTGTCTGATATGTGCGCAAGTAAGAAGCTTCATAAGTACGATCCCAAAAACGCTCCAATTAAGGAGCTTGCCAAGACCATCTGAAAAGGAGACCATTCACTGAATGGGTTCAGGTCTCAGGGCGCGGGTCATTGGAATATCTGCTGCATAGGCTCGACTGCACCCTCTGAGCGTAACGAACTTCCGATTCGTTCGTCTAACGCGAACGCCAACAATTTTTGTAACTGGCAATTCGCAATCCGTCGAATGACTTACCAATGAGCACACCTGTGCATAACGAAATGAAATTCAGGCCCATTTCAGGTATTCGCTGTTTTTGTTTTTTGTTTTGTTATTCTGCATGGTACGTTCGCATAGACCTTCGAACGAGTATGTCGATCAGAAAGCTCACGTCGCTCCAACGTCTAAAACTGTCAGCCAGCCTCCCCTAATCGATACCAAATCGCGCTGTCATCTCTCCCTGACACCCCCTTGCTCCCCCTCCCCGAGGTCCTGGGCGCGTCCAAGGCGTCAGTCGGCCCTGTGAGGGGTTGGCGGGGGCGGGGCGGGGTGCTGGTGTGTGTCACTCGCGGGCGCCATTTGATGTCGGGCTGAGTGACGGGCTGACCTCGCCGCGTCGACGGCCGCGGCCCGCCAAGCCGTGTCACGAACCCCACTTCAAAGCGCCCCGGGCCGCGGCGACAGGTCACGGCAGCGCCACCGGCGCCCTCGAGCTGTGACGGGCTGTCGGCCGACCTCGCTGACCCGGCGAGTTATGACCGCCGACGGACTGCATGTAGACGCCGACTGCGTGCCGCGCCGCGGAGGTGGGACGACGCTCAAATCACCTGAACTGAACTGAACAAGAAGTAAACTGAACTGAGCCCAACTGAACTGAACTGAACTGAACTGAGCTGAGCTGAGCTGAGCTGAGCTGAGCTGAGCTGAGCTGAACTGAACTGAACCCCGCCCATCTCAGCTGACGGCAGCTGGACGGTGTTTCCGTCCGGCTTTGTGTAGCCCGGCGAGCTGAGATTGACGGAGGACTGTGTGTACGTGAACCAGCAAAAAAACACAGCATCGGGTGCGAGAGAGGCGCGAACGACCGGTCGTTGTGGCGTGCGATGCGAAAAATAACTCACTGCGTTTCCGTCCGAGAGTGCGAGGGCTAGCAATACACGCAGATGCGTTGAACTGGAGGCGCAACGCGTTCAAGGTGCAGCAAACGAATTGCTTAAGGCGTGCTTTCAGTGTAAATTCATCCATACTGAAAACATATGTTCAAAGGCGAGAGACCCTTCCAGCTCAGATGACTAATGCCGTGTAGAAACTCCCACGTCTCGTCTAGCCTGACAAACTGGGCGTCAGCTGACATGCTTCTGGGATGTGTGAGGGAGTTGAGGCGCCGCTAAAGGCAGCTGACTATCGCTGGCCGTCCTATCCATGCAATAGCGAGTGCTGAAAGCTAATCCGACCTATGAAATACGGCGGCCGATCACGGGGAGCAGGTGGGATGCTTTGGGGCTGATTTATGTCCGCGCGCGTTAACGCGCTCCCGCTTTTGCATTAATATCTGATGGGCGGGTACGCCATTGCTGTCACTCCACTGAAATATGACCGCATATCTATACGTACACTGCAATCCCGCAGCCAGCGTCGGACGACTTGCAGCACAGACGATGACGCGCCTGTGCGGTGCCACGGACTCCGCCGTCCGCCGCCCATAATCAGCTGACAAAAGAACATGAGTTGCGAGTTTATCGGTGTAATTTGAGCCCCGCTCCAGTTTGCCGTTGCCTGCAATAATGACGACACGGGTATTCAGTGCTGACACGCCGGCGGCGGTTCACGAGCACGCCGTGTCATGCGCCATTACGGGCGCGTTACAGCCGGCCCGACATTCGAGTCTCATCTGATCAAACATGGACATGCATCGTGCCATTCTCACTTCGGTTGGAGACGCATGTTCCTTTGAAGTTGCGTCACCCAAACTTTCACTGAATTAATGTTTTAATGATCATCGGGAGCCCAGCCCCCAGCCGTGCCAGGGTTATACTCCTTACACCTGACGTCAGGCGGTACCCCATTACGCTCCTAATTTTCCGTTACGACAAGACCATGACCAATGAGCCTGACCTGGCGCTCGGTGACCGCCCGAGGCGCCTGACCTTCCACGCGCCCCGAGGCGCTGCGGGGCGACGGGCGGCTGGCACGGGGTGTTGGTCGGGTCAGCTCGCCGGCGGCCCACACGCGAGCGCCTCGTCAGCCAGACATTAGTCAAACAGGCGGACCAACGGCGCCAGCGCGCCCGATCACGGCGTGACACGCGGCCCGCCCGCCTGCAGACCCCCTGGGAGCGGGAGGGGGGACACCGGCCGGCCGGGAGCAAAGTGCGCTGGCCGGAGCTCAGGGAGCAGGTCTGTGATAAGTCTGGGACGGATTTAGGGTTTGTGTTCATGCAACTCCTCATAGTCCGCATAGTCATCATAGTCATCATAGTCATAGTCATCAGTCATCAGTAGTCCCCATAGTCCTCACAGTCGTGGTCCAGTCCACATGGGTGATCTGAGAAGCCTCCTTCCTCAGATGCGATCTGAGCCTCAGGACCCTCAGAGGTTCGAAAGCACCACTAAGGCCCCTCAATCGATGTACGATACACGAGTCAAGCTTTTACATGAAGCCGGAGGACAAAGTACTGCAGCTCAGCCGGGGGTGGACTGCATGCCAGCACGAGCTGATGCTTTTTGTCAGGCGTCGTCAGAGACCGTTGATGCCTTTTTATCTTGTGCTTAGGTTATCGAATTATTCATACATCCGGTATCAGACATATTGCTGCATGAGAAAGGACATTTCAACCATTAAAAGCGAGGGACCGAGTGGGTCGCGTACAAGCCATCCGGAAAGCGCTCCAGCTTGAGGACCTGCGCAGTATGTAGGTACTACACGATACACATGCCATACGATTGCTCTTTCCATGATCGCTACTTGGACCCGGGAACATTTACAATCCGCTTCAACCGCTCGTGGTACCTTGGAACCGTGCCGCTTGGTGCCCTTGTAAAGGTCATACATGTTGTGCTGGCGGGCGGTCTGTGCTCGTGAACCATGACCGCCGGTGAGGGGTGCCGTTTCAGCCATCAAGCTCAATCACATTTCCGTTTCGGAGGGTGTCGCCGGATGAGTTGAGCATGGTCCGCGCGACCGCAGCTGCAGCCGCAGGGCTGCCCGGAAACGCTCGACACCGAGCCGCACAACCTCGCCAGAGAACGAAGCCAGGTGGGCATGGTAGTCACTCACAGCCGCTGCTCGGCCAGTTAACGCGCGCCTGCAGATGCTATCTGCGGTGTTGTTGTTTGTTGAGCAGGTGGAGGGCTGTCCGCAACCCCATAACACGCCGGTGGGTCATCGGCGGTCATCTACGACCGCCTGGGGTGGCGGTCGACCTCGTACGTTCCAGGCGAGCGGCCGCCCCCGCCGCGGGCAGACGCGCCTGATCAGGCTAAGCGCCGACATAGCACACGCCCCAAACCGATATGACTTCGCCGATGAAAGACAGCCGCTTCGGCGCGCGCCCCGCCACCGCCCGAAAAGGCCCGTGAAAGCCGCCGGAGATGAGCCGATTATGGCCATTTTTCATCGGCGGCCCGCTCCTCGCGTCGGCCACGAGACC